GGAGAATTGGAGGAAGACATTTACATGCAACAACCAGAGGGGTTTGCAATACCAGGAAAGGAGAGTCAAGTTTGCAAACTAAAGAAGAGTCTATATGGTTTGAAGCAAGCTCCAAGACAGTGGTACAAGAAGTTTGATAACTTCATGAGTAGTACGGGATACACAAAATGTCAGGCTGATCATTGTTGCTATGTCAAACATTTTGACAACTCCTATATCATTCTACTGCTATATGTGGATGATATGTTAATTGCAGGTTCCAGCATGGAAGAGATTGACAAGCTAAAGCAACAGTTGTCAAAACAGTTTGAAATGAAGGATCTGGGAGCTGCTAAACAAATACTTGGCATGAGAATCATCAGAGACAAAGACAAAGGCATACTAAAGCTTTCACAGGCAGAGTATGTCAAGAAGGTTCTCAGCAGGTTTAGTATGGATAATGCTAAGCCAGTATGTACACCTCTGGGGAATCATTTCAAGCTCAGTAAAGACCAGTCACCAAAAACTGAGCTAGAACGTGGATACATGGACCAGATCCCATACGCCTCAGCTATCGGCTCCTTGATGTATGCCATGGTCTGTACTAGACCAGATATTGCCCATGCAGTGGGAGTTGTAAGCCGATATATGAGCAATCCTGGAAAGCAGCATTGGGAGGCAGTGAAATGGATCATAAGGTACTTAAAAGGCTCATCGGAGACATGTCTTATTTTCACAGCTGGCGGTTTGAAACTTGAAGGCTTTGTAGATGCTGATCTAGCAGGAGATGTTGATAGCAGAAAGAGTACTACAGGTTATATATACACTCTAGGAGGCACTGCTGTTTCTTGGAGTTCTACCTTGCAAAAGATAGTTGCTCTTTCAACGACAGAAGCTGAATATGTTGCAGTTTCAGAGTCCGCAAAAGAGATAGTATGGCTACAGAGTTTCCTGCAAGAATTGGGCAAGATGCATGGAAAAGGTACTTTGTATAGTGACAGTCAGAGTGCAATCTTCCTTGCCAAGAATCCAGCATTTCACTCCAGAACAAAGCACATACAGATCAAATATCACTTCATCAGGCAATTGCTCGACGATGAACAACTGTTACTTGAAAAGATCTGTGGAAGCAAGAATCCAGCCGACATGTTAACCAAAGGAGTTACTCTCGATAAACTGAAGCTGTGTAAAGCTTCAGTGGGTCTTGAAGATTAAAAGACAGACCTAACACCATTTGTGTCCAAGTGGGAGATTGTTATGTGTGTGGACACAAATGGACGGTGGCAGCCATGGTAGGTGGCAGCCATGTTTGGTGGCAGCCATGGTTGGTGGCAGCCATGGTTGAAATTATAGTTAAATGGTAGGTGCCTAACTTGCCCACCATTGTTGAACAATCATCTCCCTCCTCAGCTATAAATAGAAGATGTATTGATAGCTGAGATAGACCACGAGATAGAGAGAAACACAGAGAGAGAGCTAAGGGTGAGAGTTGAGTTGAGTTGAGAAGTTTTCTCCTCCTCCTTGTTTTGTTGTTTGTATTGCTTTTGAGCTTGATTAATACAAACCAGTAGCTCCGTGGAGTAGGCAAGTTGCCGAACCACGTAAATTTGTGTGTGTTTGAATGTTTGGATCTCCCAACATTATGTAGGAGTCCCCGGTAGCGGGAGCCCATTTCGCCAAGCCAAAGTCTGATATCTTTGGAGCATATGACTAAAGAAACATAAAAATAGAATGAATTGCAAAATTACAATGTTCATGGAACTTAATTGCATTTTCTTTAAGGTTTCTAATGCGACTAGAACTCTAGAAGGGACTGTATGAAAAACGATGAACACTAATGCAAAATTATCTATGTAAGCATGTTAAAAGAAATCAAATCCCATTAACGGGACTTTGGTTCTTTCGCGTTTCAAGAAAGTAATCTAGATATACAGATCGTTACCTCATCAAGCAGTATATTGGAGGACTTGAAATCTCTGAAAATTATTGGCTTCTCCAACGTATGCAAGTAATTCAGGCCTTGAGCCATTCCTTCAGCAATTTTAGCCCTTTTTTCCCAAGGAATCAGCCTTTTTGAGCCCTCTGCAAAGCATCATGCAGAGCATTGAGAACAAAATTCATTGTATGCAAGATCAGGAAGTGTGTGCACATACTTGGTCAAATGACAACGATTAAGATTATCATAGATTATTTCCTGGTGGTTCTTACTTCCAAACAGATGATAATTTAAGCTTCCTTTTTGCATGAATTCATATGCAATTAGATACTCTTCCTTTTCTCGACAGCATCCCACTAGTTTCACGATGTTTGGATGGGAAAGCCTTGCTAAGAAACCAACCTCTGCCTTCAGAAAGAAAAGAAGACCGAATAAGAAACGAGAATCTGGTACCTGGAGAATACTTCGAGCAGTCGCTCGTACGAACGTGAAACAATCTAGTCAATCAATCATGACCATAATTACCAAACCTGGTGGAGCCTGGCCGAGCTGGTCTTGTTTTTGGACTAAGTTGGGAGCTTACCTCATCAAACTTGGGTGATCTAAGGTGAACTCAAAAGGTTTTTTTAAAAAAAAAAATTATCTAAAGCAATGTCCTTTCAGTTTTTTTTCTTTTTTAAAAAAAATTTACTTTTCTTAAAAAAAGTTGATACAATGTCGTTTTAAGATAAACTTAGTAACTTAGGTTGACCCGACCAACGCAATTGGATCTGATGACTATGATCTTGACATGGTTTACATCTATGGATTGGCAGGATTGCCATATCATTCTCACGAGTGAATGTCCGAATACTTCTCCTCTATCACTTGGGATAACAAATTTAATTGTCAATGTCTTTTACAATTGCAGAATCATAAATATAATTTCTATATATGCCAAATAATGTAATTACCTGCCATTGCCGATATCCTTGCTTGCTGCTTGCATCCAATCTCTTGACAGCAATGGGCCATTTCCTGGTATCCTGTGACGGTAACTTCTCCTTGAGCCAACCCTTGTAAACATTTCCAAAACCTCCCTTTCCCAACACAATATCACTTCTAAAATCGAAAGTTGCAGCTTTCAGTTGATCAAATGTGAAAGCTCTAACCTTTGAGTCTGAAGCACTTCCACCATCTGGAAGAGCTCTATCATCTGGAAGAAAACCACCTTCTATTTCAGGTAAGAACTCATTGTCCTCACCCCAAATAGCTGCAAGAACACCACTTGCTTGAGATAACCAAACAGTAAAGTTGGTGGTTGCCATGGAGAACCAATTGGAGCCAGAAATATATCCAGTTCCACCAAGAAAAGATATACCACCTGATCACACATAAAAATATATGAATTATGAGACTTTAAATTGAATAAGAGCAGTGGAAGTCGAAAAATTCAGAACTGAAGACGAGCAAAAAGAATACAAGGCCATGTCAAATGCTAAACGAAGATGAATGTCATATTCCTGCCACTAAAGAACTAGAAAGAAATAACATGTGAGATTTGTTGCTGAACTTACCATCTTTAAGATCATCAATCGTGCTAGGAGCAGGGTCTGGGTCTGGGATTGGTTCAAGAACTGGATCTCCGGCTGCTGAAGCTATGGCTTGATTTGACTTACCAGATAAACAACTCCAGAAGTTCCCCATCAAATAATTCTTCCTTTGAAGAATAATGAATCAACTACGTGAGAGGGATGGATGGAGGGTCAGTGGGAGGGAGAAGGTGTTGACTTTGAGATGTCTGCTGAAGCAAATGGCAGGGGAATTTGTCTTCCAGTCTGTCGTTTATTTTACTTTGAGAAATCTGTTTTCTGAAACGGAAAAAAGAAAAGAAAGAAAGAACTACATTGACCTAGGCAGCCAGCTACTCGGTAACGTGTAAGGCAGTCACTGAAACTCTAGAAAAAGTAGTTGAAAGAAAAAAGAGAAGAGGATCGTTGTTCTGGCATTATGAGGTGCTTGAGAATATGGAAATGGATGTTGAGTTATTTTTCTATTACAGGTTTGGTCCTAAGAGGAGAGCGTGGTGGTTATTTTCATGATCTTTTAGATTTGTCATTTGCTACCACCGCAACCCTCCAAAGTTCAACCTCCTGCACCACCACAAAATGAGGTGGGTCTGCTTTGTTAATCTGAGTGCAGCAAAGCTGGACATAAAATGCATGGACATGTATAGAACTCAGAGGTAACTATTGACGTATCATTTTTTCCCAGCAATTATTATGACCGCTGATGCACTAATACTTGGTTTTCTGGTCTCTTTTTAATATTTGGGATATTCAATCTTTCATTCGACATTAAACTTCCCATCCAAAGCACCAGACACAGAGAAAGAGAGGGCCCGCCCCCCCAGAGAGATTCCCGCCTTTGAAAGACCATGCAAGAGATCTAAACTACCTAGCCACAGAAAGAAGCAATGGCACACACTGAAGAAGGCAAATAAGATTAGTAATCGAAAAAATATAATGCAAAAAAAATTTTGAGTCCTCACATTCTTTTCTCGTAAGAAATTAGTAGTAGCATCCCCCCCCCCCCCCCCCCGGGAAGCAGCCATATATTCAATCTTTCATTCAATATTAAAACTTAAGTTTTTAAGTGTTTTTAAAATATACTTTATATTATTCTTTGACATATTCTGTTAAGCGAAGAACATTTAAGTTTGAAACTTTCAAATTCATACTATCATACTATAATATACTATTAATTAATTTTAATGGAAAGAAAAAAATGAACATCTTTTTTAGCGAAAAAAACTTTCATACTCGTGCTATCATGTACTATTAATTAATTCTAATAGGAAGAAAAAATGGTGTTGTGATTTCAGATTTATAATTGGTTGATAATTAAAGCTTTGATACAAATAAGAAAATGAGAATCGATGAACACAGTAAAGAGATGGAGATCACAGGACACAAATGTCAGAGAATGGAATCTGAAGAATTAGACATTAGCAGATAGGTCCTGAAGTTTTAGCAATTCTAGTACTCAAAACCAGCACGCATGTAGGATCTAAACAGGCAGCAAAAAAGCCACGCTATAACGGGGAGCGGGCCAGAATCTATTCCACTGAGCCACAAACAGGAAGTCACAATCTGAAATATACTGGCAAAAATAGAGAGAGCAGAATCTAAACGGGCAGCTGCATAATTTAACACCATCAGAAGCAGTAGAACCTCATTAACATAGACGAAAATAGATACAACCATTTGACTGATATAAACTGGAGAGAAGTAGCATCAGTACAGGAAAATGACATTTTGGAGGTAAAAGAGAACCGTAGCATGGACAGAAGCTTCTTCAACAGCAGCAAGAAAAGGGCTTAAGCATATATACGAAAATGGCAAAAGAATTAAGGCCTCCAGGACATCATTCATTGCAGCATCCCCTTGTGTTTAGACTAGAAAACTTCATGGTAAATGAGAATCAAATCACCAATTAGACTTTCCCATGTGCTTCAGTCCATGTGACATTTTAAAGTGGATGATAACGATCCAGCTTGATTTATTGAAGTCCAGGTTCAATTCATTACAATGTCTCCATAGCTAGTATCTTTCAATATTCTCATCGAGACAACGAAACGAAAGTATAGCTATCTTCCTATAACAATCCAGCTTGATAAGTCCAGCTTCAATTCGTTCCAATGTCTCTGCAACCTGTTTCATTGATGGCCGATAGCAGTTATATTCATCAAGACATAGAACAGCAGTAAAGCTATTTTTGAAGCTTGTTTCATGGGATACTTCCTTCAAGCCTGGGGTCAATAACATGTTTCAAATGGTTTTTCTCTGGAAGTTTTTGTTTGAGCCATCTTACCAGGTTTCGCAGTCCAAGTGGACGTCTTTTATCAATTGCCAGCAAGCCTGTTAACATCTCTACCAAGACAACTCCAAAACTATACACATCACTTTTTACATAGAGTTGACCTGATCAATCAAGTAAGATTAACGTCATATGTAGTCTAAAACTAGGTTTAGCATAAAGGAGTGAAAATGAAAAATCTTCATTCAAACATAGAGACATGTGATTTTACAAGATACATGAAATTACCGTTGTCAGCGTACTCAGGAGCAACATAACCAGTCGTGCCCACAACATGTCCTCTTTTACTAAAATTACCAGCTGTGTGTTCCCACTTTGCCAAGCCAAAGTCTGATATCTTCGGAGCATGACTTCAGAAAAATTCAAGTTAGATTAATTTAAGTGTTCTTGAATCACTGAGTTCAATTTTCTGAAAGACAGATTCTTTTTGTCGGATCATAATTCTGAGAAACTGATGAAGGGTGGAGCAAAATAATCAATCACAAATGAACAAGTTTTAGCCTGTTGAATTCAGGCACAATGAGTTCCTTGATGGCTATCTAGAATCTAGATAGCACTTTACCTCGTCAAGTAATACAATTGAGGACTTGAAATCTCTAAAAACTGCTGGTTTCTCCATTGTATGCATGCAAGACAAGCCTTGAGCCATTCCTATTGCAATCTTAACCCTTGCTGTCCATGGAAGCAAGCGATTAGAACCCTCTGACCAAACAAAAGCATGCTGCAAGGAAGTACGAAATCAACAAGTTTGTGCATAAGCAATTATGTAGATTCTCACAAGAAAATCAGTGGTCATTTCAGCTCTTACTTCCAAATAAATGGTAATTTAAGCTGCCCTTGGACATGAACTCATAGACAATCAGGAACTCCTAATTTTCTCGACAGTAACCCACCAGCTTTACAGTGTTTTGGATGAGAAAACCAAGCAGAAAGATTGGTGCTTGCTATGGAGAGCCAGATGGTGCCAGAGAAATTGCTACCAAGAAAAGATATATCACCTGTTCACAGATAAAAATTACAAAACATGAAACTTAGAAATGAAGTATGCTCCCTCCTTTTCAAGGTCTTCTTGTATAGCAAAAATATCAAGAATCTAGTCCTGGCACGGGCGGTATAGAAAAGCAGTCTGAGAATACCTCTAAGAGCAAAACCAACATAAAGAGGAAGAAAATTTGTGTGATCAAGTTTGAACTTACCATCTATGAGATTGCCAATTGTACTAGGGACTTTGTGTTCATCTGGGATTGGCTCAACCGTGCTAAGGGATGGATCAGGGTCTGGAATTGGTTCAGGAATTGGAGATTTGGCTACTGGGACTAGGGCTTAATTTGACTTGCCAGCAATACAACTCCGAAAGTTCCCCATCAGAGAATTAATCTTTCTTAGAAAAACAAAAAACCAGTGCTATGAGAGGCAGAAAGGGAGGGAGGGAGAAGGTGTTGACTTCTTTATTTGACTCTCAGGAGCTTTTTTTTTTTTTTTGAAGTAAATGGCGGCAACATGATGTTTTCCAGCCTGTACTATTCCCTTTTGCTCTTGTATTTCTTTAAAATTTCCAGGAAATGAAACAAAACAATAAAATAATTTCCCAAGTTCAGTTATTTTCTGAGCTTGAAAAATCTTTGAGAATATGATCCTACTCTGGTATTTTGAGAGGCATCTGAAAATATGAACATGTGCTCAGATCTCTGAAACCAAATTTGGTCCTGTTCTGTTGTTTTCAGATCTTCAAAAGCTAAAAAAGATCTCATTTTTCCATGGTTGAATCACTTGCAAAAAAAGAATATTTGGGAACTTTATTTCAATGACTTAATTAATTAATGTGTGGAAGAGTTTCATTTTAGGAAGCAAGGAAGTCTGCAAAATTAAAAAAGAGATGGATGCTTCGATTTCGAAAACAGCTTCAAATGAAGAGCTGAATGGTTTTGAATTTTATTGTGAATCATTTACATAAGAAATTACAGTTCATAAATTGACATTACTGAAAAAATTGAAAGCAATTCTTTCCAAATTAAACCTCATGCAAAGTTCCTGGCAATAATCGTATTGAAAATTATGGGTATTTTCATCGAACATGTTATTTGGCACCACCAGATCTCTTTTGTAACTTTAGACTTGTGTATGTGGGCTTTCCACGTGCTCCAATAGCAACAAATCTATATCCGACTGTTCAAAAACCCCTACATCAGTATATCAGAAATAACCTTGCACTAGAAAAGATTCCACGCTTTGGCTTCTTCCTTGACAAAGTGCTAGATAAATATGCACAAGCTGTTGATGAATCAGTTCAGCGGAGTCGAGCTACTAACTCTACCAACGTCTCAAGAACTTCCATCATTGATGGCCGGAAAGAGTTAAGACATCTAACTGCAACATAGCTATTTCTGAAGCTTGTTCAATACAATGTTTTCCCTCCAACTTCGGGTCCCTTGCGCATTTCAACTTCTGTTTCTCGCACAGTTGTGGTCTTGTCCATTCAACTAGTTTCTCAAAGCTACGATTTCTATCAATTGCTCGCAAGCCGGTTAGTATCTCGGCCAAAACAACACCGAAACTGTACAGATCGCTCTTTGCATTCAGATCCCCTCATGAATCAGCACAAGATCAATGTCATGGCAAATTTTAGAAGTAGATTTACATCAGTAACTTACCAAATGTTAAATCCAGGTAAACTACCAATGAATGAACAAGCTCATTGCTTCTGGTGAACTAAAGTTGGATCGTATAAATGAGGATTTGAGCCTGGAATGTGCAATTCAATTGCACAATCCAGACTCTATATTTTAGCAGGCTAAACTGATGGAGCCTAAGGTCAGAATTTTGGAGCAAGCCATCATGCAATCCAAACAAAATCTGTAACATCCTTGTTGAAAACAAAATTAATATGCAAAAATGCTAAATATATAAATACATTTATGAAGTAGATAAATTTTGAAAAATTGGAGAAATTTTATAGAAAATGCATTTTTTTTTAAATGTTGGAAGAAATGAGGGCCAAAAACTAGCTATGACACTATGAATCAAACCTATCACACCTCTAAATCCTGCATAATAGCAATAGGTCAAACCTTAAAAGAAAAACAAGATTATCTGCTTCAGATCCATATTCTGCAAGTCAATACTTGCTGATCTTGGTTTCAACAGCACGGAATAAATAGATGCTCAGGACAGAGGTACTTTTCACTACCGTCATTGACCCGAGACTCGTATGTGTGATCTCCTCCATCAGAGAGTTTGCTGGAACACAGCCTATTTGACACATTCAGAAGGAATTTTTTGATCTCAGGATCAAACCATTATAGAAACACACATTGTCAATTTGTCAAGTTAATCAAGTATTGGTTTGATGTTGCAGCTGTGTAGCTTTGTGCCTATTTAAAGCAAAACTCAAGAGAATAAATTACATTGAACATTTTTCAATGAACATTTTTCAAGGATGATTTGTATAATTCATTATGTACTCTAACCTCGGATGGATTACAAAAATTATCCAGGGGGCCCAAAAAAAGGACAAGTGATTCATAAGACATGTAGTTACATTTGGAAATCAGTTCAAGCACAGCAGTAATACCATGTAAACACTGTGGAAGAGAGTGACATGGATTCTGACTACAACATGAGAAAAATTACATTTGTTGAAGAAAAGCTTCAGGTGACACGAATCAGGAGGACAACCATGATGAAAATACATGTCATTAGAAACATCAACAACCATGTGAAGCACGTGGTCTTTGATGTCTTCGAGTATATGTCCATGGTCCGGACATTGGCATGACCAGTGCTGGCCAAGCTCTGCTCAACAGCCTGCTCTGTAGAATCTAGTATCTGCATTCCAACACCCAGGTTCAGAGCACAAAAAACTAATCAAGGGCACAGAGCAATCCAACAAAGCTCAAAAACACTATTGATTGAAGAAAGGAAATGCAGCTACTAAAATCCACATCAATTATGCAAAGACAGAGGACAGACAAACCAGTTCACTACCCCATTCATTTGTGAATCATGTATCATGTTCAACACAATCATTACTGAGAATTCTAGTGTCCAAACCCCCCCCCCCCCCCAAAAAAAGAAAAATTGTTCACCTTTGAATTCTAGTGCCCCCCCCCCCCCCCCCCTCCAAAAACAAGCAATGCTGGACCATTGTAACCAAAATTACATGCTATAACATAGGCCAACTAATGAATCTTACAAATATTAGAAGTCAGAAACAATTAGCGACTCGCTATGATACCAAAAGTCATACCTTTTCAGTGTTTTGTAAAGATTGGCTCATCAAGAGACTACTCTCTTTTAGTTGTTGTGCCAATCCAACCATTTCATCAGTCAAGTCATCTTGAAGCTTTCTGTTAAACGAAACAACTACATAAGAAAAACCAGCAGGGAAACATGGTGAAAAAGTTCCCATCCAATATAGTTTTCCTTCATCCTCAAACATTTATCTTTCATTTCATACATGGCAAGGAATATTTAACATAAGTATAGTTACAGTGATATATATCAAGTGATCAAGAATGACTGAATGACACAAACTTTCAAAACCTTATTTCTACCCAGGTACTCAATTTAACATCAAGATAAAAATATAAACGTACCTATGCTTTTCAATGTGTGCTTGTGCTGCAGCATCCAGTTTAACAGGAGCTGATGCATCTGCCTTAATAGAGTCACGAGTTTTGTCTTCAAAATTCGACACTGGCCTGCTCAATGAACCAAGCAAGCAATCCCCAACAAAACAGATTACATACCAAAACAGGAAATCAAAAGCTTCCATAAATCACATAAATCATGGCCAGATAACTTACGCAAATCTCCTCCTCAAGCCTGGAGAAGATGCTATCTGATCTCCTCCATCTGCCTTGGGACTTTCTTTTCCCGAATCCCCAGCAAAAGTTTCCTGGGGAGCCATAATTTCAGGCTGCGAATCTCGAAAAAAAAAAAAAGACAATCAACATCAATAACCTCCGATCCATCACCGTGTACAGCAATACGGCAAACTACGAACCCCAATCCCATAGCAGCAGCAGCAACAGTTCATTAAATTCATTCTTTAAGAGGGGAAAAAAATTGCCCATCTGGAATTTGTGTTCAAAATTCCAACATACATAAACAAACTAACCAATTTCTCGACTTAAACAAACAAACTGCCCTAACAATCAACAGAAACAAACCAACACATTCAACTCACCAATGAGTTAACTAATTTAGAAGCAATAGCCTCAATCTTCTCCGAATAATCGTTCAACACCGCCTTCGAGACTCTATCAAAAAAAAAGACTCAAACTTTACAAAACCCAGAAAACTTCTTAAACAAAGAAATAAATTCAAGAATCATACCAACCTTGGTAATTCATCAGCCATTCTCTCTTCAGCCAATTGTTCCAATTGCTCTCTTAAAGTAGCAATATACTTCAAAGGAAAAGAAAACATTCAAATTCAAAGCAGTATACACCAATGAATTATATATATATATATATATATATTTTAAAAGACTCCTCAACATTCAAATCAAAGAAATAGAAAAAGGGTCGTGCTTACATGGACGAGTTTTGCTTGATTTTGTTGTTGAGGAGCAGATGAGAGTAATCTTCTTAAGTTTATTTCTGTTTTGCTGATTCCCATTTTTCTACAGAGACAGATCAACAATCACCAAGGAAAATTTTGAGGGTATGGAGATTCTGCAGAAGTTTGATTTTGTACTGAATCGTGAGGAAGAGTTATTTTGGCTGAACTATGTTCTAGTCCTTGTAGATTCAGATATGTTCCATTTTCATCCTTATAGTTTAAATGTTTTTAAATATATTATAAATGTAACCAAAATGTTCCAATTCCACATCTTGCTTTTAGAGGTTAAATTCCTCCATCTTAATGAGAGAAATACTTTTTAAATCATTCAAAAATGAGAATTAATTTCCATTGATATGTTAGTTGTTGTTTTGAGCATAGTTGCAAAATTTGAATTACAAGCTCATCCAATCTAAAATCTAAATTATATAGAGAGAGATAATTAATCTCTAATTTTTTTAAAATAATTAAAATAATATTATCTTAATAAAAGAAAATAAAAGGAGAGTGATTTTTTTTATTACACTCCTCCAATTTTCTTGTGTCCGTCCAATTTTTTATTATTTGAGTTTAATTAAAACCTCTGAGATTTCTCCTCAAAACAAGCATATACACTTTGTTTAGAAGAAAAGGTTCATCATACACTTCGTAGGCTGTGTAACCCATGTAATTAAAACACTTGCATCAAGTAGCAGGACGCTCAGGAACTCAAGAATATATATAATAGACAAATTGATGAGGCGAGGTCAGAAGGAGCAATGGCGTATAGGAAGGAAAATCATATTCTTACGTTCATTTAGATCTTAAACACTCATCTTATCAAGACAGAACCAGGCACAGCTGATGTAGAAAAATACAAGAAATTGGTGGGAAAAAGAGGAATGAAGGATTGACTTCTTAATTATGATAGTAGCTAAAGTAGTGGCAAACTCAACCATGGAAAATTTCATAATTTTCTTACAGAAAAAGCTGATATAACAAAGAAAATGAAGAAAAATTATATGGAAGAGGATTGTGACAGAGGTTTAATCATCTCCTGGAAACTGCTTCTAATCTTCCCACCTCCCATCCCTCTATTTCCATCAACAACAGCCTCATTACTGAGAAACTTAACAGCA